CCTTTTGAGAAGCATAGTCATGTGAATTCCAATGGAAACGTAAGTTCTACTCACATCATGATGACAAAATTCGGCTACTAGTCCCTCATCACCTTAAAAGAAAGAGGGGGGACACATCTCATATAACTTATAAGTTTATTATAAAGAATTTCTTCTGAAGTTCACACTACAAGAAAATGAGTTTTGTATTTATAGAAAATAGGTTCCTAAGGAGATTTTTACAGTAATTATGTATGATTATGATTCATGAATTTAATACAGTATTATGAGGTGATGTCGAATTTAAGCCAGTTGTCTAAAACTAGTTACCATATTTTGGCTGCTAATTTTTCACTCCCTACAAAATTGTTTCATTCACGTTATTTTTCATCATTTTTAAAGTATAATATAAAAACTAAAGCATCATCTATGAGAAGTAGGATAATTTCTAAGGTATAAAGACCAAGATGGTGTGGTATTTTGTGTGGTTGTAGCCTCCTCTCGATGTATACAGGTTGTTTGACCTGTTTTCGCAACTTGGTCATATTGGTAGGAAGGCTTATAGGAACGCACCTAGTCCGGAGTCCATTGTATGTATGATCATTTCCAAAGTCGGACCGTGGACGTAGTACATTCCCAGACGTTTCGCCGGCATCGTATTTATCATCGTCAGGGGGGTCTTGCTAGTCTTAGCAGCACACTACAACTCGTCAACGGGATAAGTGAAGCCGTGATTCCCAAACTGTGCGCCGCGAGGCCCCGGGGAGCCGCAGCCTCTTTGCAGGAGCGCCGCGAAATATTGTAAAAGCTTCAAATTGAGGAAATGTCCAGTGATTTGTAGGCTCATTCATCACATTAATTTTGAATATTAATTTAATGTTAATAAAGCAAAAAAAAATAATGAAGATACACGAGTTTTGTTTATTTTTATCTTTTACTTACGAATAGTCATACTTAGGGTAGGGCGCCATGGAAAAATTTTAATAGAAAAAGGGCGCCACGACTAGGAAAAGTTTGGGAACCACTGTTTTGACCAATTGTCTGCTAAACAATCGTGTTATCTCTCCTTTCCCCCTGAGCTAATCACCAATCCTATATCCTCGTATCACGCCTTAACTACCACAATTTTTACTTGCTTATTATAATGTGGTATGGTGTGCCCTTTTGAGCGGCTTATATGAGAACCCTCCATACTCCACACTAGCTTTCTTACTCCCTCACCCCCCTTCACCCTAGGGCTGGGAATGTTGGTCAGTCTGCCATATTGTTATGTAGTCCTCCTTCCCCAGGTCTTATCAGAGTCTCCCTCTTGCCCCGTAGAATCCGTCTGCTATCTTTCTGGTTCATGTATTTCACTCGATCCCTGCCACCCCATCTGTGCTAGTCGAGGCGTTAGTTCCCATTGCGTCTGGGAGAATAACTTAAGACTAAAGCCCCTGAGTAATTTTCATAATCAAGCCTTTGCTTAATGGACCACGTCTATGGTAAAACATGCTTACTGTCAGCCGAATTGCTCTAGACGCGTTTCTTTATAGACGTTGTCCATGAACACGTCAATTGTTAGTCAGCTAGCTCTAGCGTCCACCGCGTCTATCCTGTTTCTATCCCTAACACCAAGTCTATGAATTCCTATAACCTAGTCTCTTGTTGGGGTTTAACATTAAACCTAATCAAAGCAAGCAGTACCACAACATTTGTGGATTAACACACAAGAGACAAGGGCCTATCATGTGATAGACTTGGTATTACGGATCGAAACAGGATAGACGCGGTGATTAAACACGTCTATTCTTAGCCAAATAGCTCTGGTCCCCACCGCGTATATCCCGTTTTTATCCTTACTACCACTTCCTATCACTTCCTATGCCTTCGTCTCTTGTCTGCGAACCCACAAATGTTGTAGTTCCACTTGTTTTGATTGGGCTCACTGAAGACGTCTCCTCTTGGCTTCTGATTGTTCATTTCTGGTCTCCTTGCGATTTCTTTTCCTAAAATTAAAGATGTTACCTTAATCCGATCATCTTCTTTTTGCGGATCCTACTTTTGCCTGGTCTTCTCCGAGTTTGTTTAGCCAATATGCAAAGCTTTCGCTGATCATGCCTTTTTCAAGTCTCCTGTTCATTAGATTTCTCTCGGTCAGTATATCGATGGCATCTCGGATCTTGCGTTTTCTCGTATTTTCACAATATGATGCCAGTCTTTATGTCTTTTTCCAGTCGATTGCGTGTCCCATCGTGCAATGTGTTCCGCTATTTCCGATATTTTCGTATCCATGTTCCTGCAGAGTCTTTGATGTTCATTGATTTGAATGCCGATGTTTTTTCCTGTTTCACCGATATACTTCTGCTCACAGTTGCCACATTTGATGCGATAAACTCCCAAACAATCCAGTTTCTTAGTCTTCTCATGTTGCGCCAGCAGACTGATGAAAAGTGTTATCTTCTCATTTGTTATCACATTGATGTTCAATTACGTTAGTAACGGTCGCAATTTTTATCTCAATTCAAATGAGGGCAGACAAATCTACTTTTGGTCATCCTTATTCCTGATCGGATTTTCACAAAATCTGAGTTGAAATCTGCCCTTTATAACCCAACATTTTTTTATATAAATTTTCCGGGGTATACGTTACTAAGGCAATCCGTGTCAGTTTGTCCCACTCCTTGCCCCGTAACTCAGTGTAAGTTTCTGATGAACAAACTCCTCAGTATTCCGATCTTTAGTCTGTAGTTATGGTGAGACTGAAAATTAAAGATTATTCCCGCATATGGATTCTTTCTGTTTAGTTTCCTCATTAGTGTCCCGTTAAAACGCATGACTTTAATATCCAGAAAGGGTAGTCGTTCATCTTCCTCTACCTCCATTATGAATTTAATTATTTCATCAAGTTGGATAATGAAATTGATGAATTCATTTATATTTTCCTTACCATGTGACCGAAATGCAAAATAGTCAGCCAAGTATCGCATAAGCACTCTTGGTTGCAGTGGTGAATTTTTGAATTCCCTTTCCAACTTGTCCAGGTACACATTTGCCAAAATAGATGAGAGTGGAGATCCCATAAGTGATCCAAATATTTCGTAGTAGATACTGCTAAAGCGTCCAAGTAATTGTCATGGTCAAGCCTTTGCTTCATGGACCACGTCTATGGTAAATCAGGCCTACCATCAGCCAACTAGCTCTAGTCTCCGCAGCGTCTATCCTGTTCCTATCCGTAATAACAAGTCTATGACCTCTTAAGCTCTAGTCTCTTGCGAGCCAACCCACAAATGTTATGGTACTGCTTGCTTTGATTAGGTTCAATGTTAAACCACAATATTTGTGGGTGATGACACAAGAGACTAGGGCATAAGGATGCATAGACTTGATATTAGACATAGAAACAGGATAGACACGCCTGAGACTGGAGCTAGTTGGTTGACAGTAGGCCTGTTTTACCATAGACGTTGTCCATGAAGACGTCGACCATGACGATTAATCAGCGGCTTTAGCCTCGATTTAGTCTACCAGATGCAGACTGTGTGACATAATTACTCGAGTAGCACAGATGGGTGGCAGAGGTTGAGTCACATACTTGAACCTTGGAGATAATAGACGGATCATACG